AGAAAACCTTTCTTGGGTCAGGCTGGAGAGAAGTGGAGAGTCTTCCCCACTGGGAAATGGAAGGGAAATGGGTTACTGATGTTTACTGCCCCACAGAAGCATCCATAGTGTTTTGTTTTGTTTTTTTAAGTTGCAATAAAACGTTTGTGCTTCTCCGAGAGCGCTCTGCGGAAGGCACACGTCAGGCCAATTAAGCCCTGAAAGTGTAGACAGTCTTTGCAGTAAACATTGCAGTAAACAAAAGGAGATGTGTCCATCCTCCTTTTCATGAGCGTGTAAGTGGCCCAGTGAGTGAGTGGGGCAATGGCCCTCCGCTGACTGCCCATGAGCAGCGCATCTTCGTTTCTCCCATCACAGAAGTTCAGGAGAAGCCCTGGTACACAGTCCACCCACCGACAGGCCGCAGCCCTTTTCTTCTGTTGAGGAGGTGATCTGGGCAAGAAAGCTCTTACTGGCCTCTTTTCCCAGAAGAGGAAACTGAGAGTCACTTCTTTTGCAGACTTGCCTGTACAATGCAAAGCGACACGGTGAGACTCTGGTATTAGATGTCCCATGGTTGGGTTCACCCCTACCCTAGGAATGTTGTACCCAGAGCCCTGGGAGTCTTTAGAAATCTCACTCAGGACTAGTGTGACCCTAAAGGGGGGGGGCGTGGCTGAAGACCAGGAAGCAAGGGGACTTAGTGAAAGGGTAAATAAAAGGAAGTCACGGAAAGAGATGCGGGTGAGACTGAGGCCACCAATTTGTGGCTGCACGAGAGCTAAAACTGGGGACTCTGGGCTGGAAGCAGGGAGGGAGGAAGCTGTCCCTGGATCTCAGTAACAACTGTTTATATGGGATGGAAGTATCTTCAGAGCTGTGATTCGCAGATCAGGGGGGAGCCACTGCCAAAGCCACTGAGTCAAGAGGTAGTAGAGATTTGCCAGCCTCCCCCCCGCCCCCCACCTTGCCAGCTCCTGAGGGTGCCACCCGCTGGCAGAACCCTGCAGGAAGCCAGAGAGCCTGGAGCCATAGCAAGGGAAGCCAAGAAGATCCGCAGCCTGGGGGGGGGGGGACGGCAGGAAGGGTAGAGAGCAGACGTGGAGGGGAAAGGAAGGATCATGACACAGGCCATCCATGCCCCAGAGCAAGGGAGCTAGGTCAGTTCCTCCAAACACTGTCTTTCAGACAGATGGCATGGAGCCGTGAGCAAGACAAGGTCCCTGGCCTCGAGGAGTTCGCCGTATCCTGTCAACAATTATATATCTTTTTAAAGCAAAGACACAGAATGTTTCAGTGAACACCAGGAAGGACAATCAGGATACAGACAGGATGGGGTTTGGGCCGGTGGTGGAGGGTTGCCGTTTTGGGTAGGACAGGGCAGGTAGGGTTAGGCAAAGCTTGCCTGGAGGTAGGCATTTAGGAAGGCAGCTAGACTTCACCTCCATTCTCCCTCTGCTCTGGGACTGCTGCCTGATGGGTTAGAATCCAGCGTGGACAGTGACTTAGCTGTATCAAGCAGTCCTCACGGAAAATGAGAGACAGGACTGGCAGAAGGGACCCCAACATGCACCAACATCTGCACACATCTGGTAATTTCCTCCGTAAGGGCATTTGTAAACCTTTGCTCTTTCTCATCTAGCTGCCTGCAGGAGCCTGGAGGAGCAGGCTCTTCAGTTTGTGTGTTAACACTCCTGCAAGATCAACAGCGTGGAAAGTCAGGTTCTAGCCTCCCTCCCTCGTCTCAGCCCTCCTCTTGCTATCGGCCAAAGACTCCAAGCCAACAGCAGAATGTTTTTTTCTCTTCCTTGGTGGAGCTATCTGCTGTGACCATCCAATGGACTTTTTTCTCTCCATCTATTCCCTCTTACTCTCGCTTTTAAAAGAAAATATTAAGCACCAAAAAGAAAAAGGAAGAAGAAATCTGTGCCAGGGAAGTGAAACTTGCTCAGTAGTTCTAGCCCGGGCTCTTTATGATAATGCATTCAACAGCCTGTGGCCAGGCTGGGGTTTCTTTTTGCCCCTCTTTTTCCTTGTTCCTTCTCGTCCGTTTCAGGCTAGCCTACAGTCTACACTTGGTGGTCTCCGGGCCATTTTTGAATAGGCAAGATATCTCAGTCAATAAAGTCAACTGCAGGAGTTTTCTTTCCCTGCCCACAGAGAATGCGGTTGGGGCCAGGCAGAGGCTGCGGTCGCGGGCCGAGGGGGCGGGGCGGACCCTTCGCTTGCGCTGACAGCCCCGGGCCCGAGCCTGCCGCGCAGCCAATGGGCAGCGGTGATTTATGGCGCTGGCTACCGCCGGCTGAATGCAGCTTGTCAGCCTCACAGTGAAGGGCTTCCCTTCCCGCACAAGCCCCGGCTTTGTGTTGCTTAGCGATTAGAGCAGATGTAATGAGATTTTGCCCAATCCTGGCATTGTCCTTTCCTAGCTTCAGAAAAATTGCGTGTGTGTGTGTGTGTGTGTGTGCGCGCGCGCGCGCTCACGTTTCTGTGAATTTTTTTGAGTTTGCCTTTGCACTGTGGCAAACAACGGCTAACTTTGCCTCGAGTTTAAGGAGATTGGATGTTTTCCAACGACAAGTGTGTAAAGGAACACCTGTCCTGACCGAGAGAAGGAGAAAAAAATCCCCTTTGCAGGAATGAAACTTTATCCCAATGTCAGATTCAAAACCCTAAGCCACCAGTCACACTTTCTTTGCACACCTTATTTGGAAGCTTGCAAAGGGAGTTAAATTAAATAAAAGAGAAATGGGAGGCAGTTTTGGTCCTCCAAATAAGATTTTTTTAAAAATGCCTCGCAAAAGCGTTACTCAAGTAAGGTCTAAATTGGCCCACTGCTGGCAGAAAGTCCGATTATTTATGGCGATGAGGAATTTACTGATTTTTTTTCTCCCCTTAATTACGCTCATCTCTTTGAAAGGAACTAAAGCCCCAACATGCATTCTATAGCGGGTCATTTAGCAAAATGACATCAGGCTCTGTGTCGTGCTCAGCGCATTTGGGGCTTTAAAAAATGATTATTCCGTGCCACTAAATGGTATAGATGTACCAACACAGACTAGATTTTTAACTCTGGAAGACGTGCTGGCTCCTTGCTCTTTGTTGGGTTTTGTAAGATGCGTTTTTGCGCTCGGCTTTCCGCTTGGCTGGAGACACGCACGCTGAATCGCCAAGTGATGCCGGCGGCCAGCGAGGAGCCGCGGAGGCCCAGTAGGATTCTGATCACGTCCTTGCTAACTGACAAGAAGCAAGCCAGCCAAAAACCCACCAATTTCTTTTTGAATCTTGGTAATTGGGTACTTTTACACACAGCTCACGCCATTCGGATAGAGTCCACAGGCTCACATAGCCAGTGTCTCAAAAAGACCACACATTTCTAACGCTTATATTTATTTAAATCTAACTCCTTCTGCAAGGAGGAATCCACACCTTTTACTTAAAAGCAATATGACAAGTGTGTGTATTGGGGAAAGGGACGGAAGATGTATGCTGGGAGTGGAAGAAAAATGCACCCTACTCAAGCCTGCCCTAGAGGGGGACCTGCACAGTCACCAACCTTCAGCTTCTGCCCTTTGCCTGTCCTCTACTTCACCAGGTCTTCTGCTTTCCCTAGGTTCATGCTGAGGAGCTTGGGATGGGGGTGCGGGTCCAAAGTGGGGCGCAGCATCTTCTCAAGAGTTCACAGTTTGGAGATTTTTCAACTGTAATTTATTGAACAAAGATGCAACCACTAACCACCACTTACTCTCCTGGGTGTGTGCACACATTTGCAGAAAAAAGAGAGAAGAAAGTAAAATGCCATACTCTTTTCCCCTTCATCACATAGTGCCACTGGGGCAGGCCTGGAAAAGCACTCTGTCATTTCTCCCACTCTGTGTGTTTTGAATCAGCTTCTCTCTCTGACCCACCCCTTCCCCTGATGACAACTTTGCCAGGGGCATCCTTGGTTGTCAAAGAAAGCTTAGAAGCAGCTGATTATTTTCACTTTTTAAAAAAGGAAAAAAGTTTTATTATGAAACTAGTTTGTATAAAACAGGGTTATACACATTTTTGTAAGTTTGTAATAAAACAGTAAGGAAAAAAAAGGCAGTGATAGAAATTTCCAAAAGGCAACCTATCAAAGCCATCTGGCTGCCACTTTTCGTTTGGACAGTAGCTGAATAAACTTTGTTCTTCATGAACAGGATTTAATAACATCATTAATACATTAACAACGTTGCTCTAAAGTAAGACACATCGGTGCTGAAGGACATCCGGCGCTTTTAGAACTCACCTGTGAGGAGAGTTCTTTACAAAACCACATAGGGGAAATGGCAGTTGTCAGGTAAACTACACAGCTAAAGTACGAAGAGGTCAGAGCATTACATGTTAAAGTATCAAGATATACACATTTTAAACCATTTGTACAAAACTTCTATAAATTTTTTCTCTCTCTTTCTCTCTTATGTACAAAAATATCTTAATATATCCCCAAACTGGTTAGGATAGATACAAATAGATTTTTCTTATAATAAAAAAAAAATTCACAAAAGATTGGAAGCATTCTATGATGAAAACAGTAGAAAAGACGGTGGGAGAGGCGGGGAGGGGGGTTCGGGGCACTGAGTAGCGCATAGTTTCACTGCAGACCTGTGTCCAGGGCTGGACCCAGCCGCTTACAGAGATGAAAAGACGCAGCAGGTTGGCAGAGGGCAGAGAGCTGCGCTCCCTCAGAGAGAGGCCGCGAGGTGAAGGCACCAGGCTGGCGGGCCCAGCCCTGCCTAGGGGCGGTGGGTGGGAGTTCTGAGGAGCTAGGGCAGCTCCTGTCGCAGAGACCACCGCTTCACCAGCGAGGCACCTCTGGCGCACACGCAGGTAGCAGTGGCTGCTTCTGATTCCAGTGAACGCTTGAACTGCAAGACAGGATTTTGAGCGCATCCTTGTTTTCTGAGGGCCTGCCTCTCAGGCGTGTGTGGATGAGTGGGCGCTGGGGTTGGTTGCCTGTTTTTGCTTTTGTGTATGTGTGTTTTCTTCCTTGATTGATTGATTGCTTGATTTGCTCCCTCCCAAGGTCGCCGACAAGAAGAGCACTAGAGACGCAGGTTGTGCGGTTCACCCTGTAAAAGAAACAGAAGCGAGAAGTTTAGCGTGAATGTGAACTTGGAAGGCCAAGGTAGAGGAGAGGACGTCCCAAGGAGAGCACCCTCCTTGACTGGTCCCGCATTAGGCAGGGAGCACCTCGGCCGCTCGCCCCTACGCTGCCCTCCTTGGAGACCTGGGCAAAGCCACTTTCAGATGCCAGAGGAACACTGGCTTTGGAATTGGCAGATCTTAACAAATTCTTTAAATTAAAAAAGAAAGAAAAATCCTCCATCTCCGTGAAGATGGCTCGCTTCCCTGTCTGGGTCGCTCAAAGGGAGGTAAAAGCAAGGAGACGAGAAGACCTCCCTTCCCCCGCGCACCCTGAGGGCCACCTACCTGCTTCCAAGATCCATTTGCCCCAGGCCCCGAGCAGGCCGAGCCCCTCAGAACCAGTTGGTGAAATCCAGCAGCTCTTGCTCCTCTGGGCTGAGTGGATCGTAGGAGCCCTCGTCAGACGAGTAGGACGAGACCGGGGAGCCGGCCATGGAGTTCATGTCGTTGGAGTAGCTGGGGGAGATGGTGGGCGACAGGACCCCCGCCTGGAAGGCGGCGCTTACGGCGTCGTGCTCGTCCAGTAGCTGCTGCAGCGCACGGATATACTCGACCGCCGAGCGCAGCGTCTCCACCTTGCTCATCTTCTTGTTGGCCGCGCCGTTGGGGACGTGCTCCCGCAGCGTGGCGAAGCCCAGGTTCACCAGCTTGACGCGGTTGCGCTCGCGCTCGTTGCGGCGCGCCACGGCGGCCGGCTGCTGCTGCGGCAGGCTGTAGCCGAAGCCGCTGAAGTTGAGCCGGCGTTTGCAGCGCATCAGCTCGGGCGAGGACGAGCGCTGCCGCTTGACTTGCTTGGGCGCCGACTTGTGACCGCCCCCTGAGGGCTGGCCGTCGGCCGCGGGGCTCAGCGGCGGGGGCTGCGCGCTCTGGGCGGCGGCGGCCGAGGCGAAGAAGCAGGCTGCGGGCGGCAGGAAAGGCTGCGGCTGGGGCTGCGCGCCGGCGCCGCCGCTCTCCATCTGAGCCGAGCTCTCCATGCGCGCACAGGAGCGGGGCGCGTGCGGGGAGACGCGGGCAGGGCTCGGGGGCGCGATCGCAGGGGCAAGGACGGGGAGAGGTGCACAGGGCGCCTCGGGAGAAGTTTTCAGAAAATGCCAAATCCCCGGGAGAGTCCGCTGAGCGGAGCGGAGCAGGTGCCAGCGCGCGTCCTCCTCCCTCCGCGCCGCCTCCTCCCGCCCCTCCGCCCTCCGCGGCTGGCTTCCGAGCCTCGCGTGGCGCTCGCGTGTGAGGCCGCAGCTCGCGCCTTCTTGGAATTAAAAAAAAAAAAAAAAAAAAGCGGAAGAAGCCGCGAAAGTAAGCGGAGAGCGCGCCCTGTGGAGTCTCTAGGCCCCGGCCCTCGCTCAGCTGCGCCCGGATCTCCGGCAGCGGCCCGGGCTGTGTTTATTATTTTGTGAACCCCCTTTCCTTCTCAGTTCTCCTCGCTCTCGCCCTCCCCGCCTGGCTCCCTGTCGGGGCACCTTCTGCGTTCCTGGGCCAGAAGTGCGAGTGTGGGGCGCCGGAGCGCGGCCGCCTTTTCAACGGGACACCCAGCCCCACGCGCAGCCCTGGCCCCGCCTCGCCTCGCTCCCCGCGGCTGCAGCGTGCGGCGGCCGCCGCTCCCCTCCTCCTGCCGCCTCCGCCCCCCGAGTCCCCTCCGCCCCTCCCTCCCGCGGTCCCCGCGCCGGGCCGTGCAAACTCCATTCAGCTGGGTTTGTTGTCGCAGTGCGTGCGCCTGGCGCGTGCCGGGCTCCCGGCTGAATAAACAGGCGGTGCGCTCGGGGCGGGCTGCGGCCGGGGGTTGGTTAGGGAAGGGGGGGTGGTTGGCCTCTCAGGAGGGGTGGACGGCCCTAAGGATTGGGGTGTGTGGGTGGAAGTTTGGGGGGGGGGCAAGCGCTCTCCGAGTCCCCTAAGAACTTAGAGCAAAGTGCAGGGGAGGTTTGGACAGAAACAGTAGCCTCCCCCCATGGGGGGCCCACCGGGAGCTGAGGAAGAAGGGGGCTGGGCTCTACTTTTGTTATTGCTGTTGTTTTTTTCTGCCCGCTTTTATTCTTTTGGGGTTCTGCAGAGGTGAATCTAATTTGTAGCTGGAGTTTAGGAAGACGAGATGACTCTCGTCTCCCTGTTTCCGGAGAGTGGAAAAAGCGTGGTCTGTGTGTCTACTTGAGTTCTAGTCCTGGTCTGGGCTCTAGGCACCCCTGAGGCTCGAGGCCATGGTTAGCTTCTCTGTGCCTCCGTTTCCCCTTCTGTGCCCACGTTCAGTTGCATTAAATGTCCTCTGCTGTGCCACCCAGCTCTAAAAATTAGGCTGTGTGCCGCACCTCCGAGCAAGGGCCTGGAGGGATGGATGTGATCCACGCGGTAGAGTGCACTAGCCCTCCGGGGTGACCTCGGGTTCCCCCCTGTGCCGCCTCCACATCCCTGGGCAATTTCCGGACTGCCTGGAGCAGCCACGCTCTGAACCCCCCTCCCCCCCAGCCTGGGAGAAGAAAGCTGCGGCTGCGAGGAGCGCGCTGCAAGCTTCCTGGGTTGGTCCTCCCGCGGCCTGGCCGCCTTGGCGCAGCCTCCATCCCGCCCCAGGCGTGTGCCCGGCGGGCCGGTGGCAGGCGACTGGGAGCCGAGCCCGGGGCGGCCGTGTGCTGGCGGCGCCAGGGAGGGGGAGGCGCCCTCGCTGGGCCCGGGGCCTTGGCGCACTCCAGCCAGACCCGGTCCAGCTCCGGATCGCCTGGGGACACGGTGCTGAGGGCAACGCGCCTGAATCAGCGCCCCCAGTGAGCAGATTTGCCCAGGAGGAAACTTTCGGTGTGGTCAGAGATCCAGAGCTGGGACGAGCGTGGTGAATTATGCAGATAATTGCTTCTAATTGAACTTAGCCTGGTGGAAATGGGTCTTCCTGAAGGGTCCAGGAAGCTCGCTGCCTGTTTGAAGCGGTCTCAAAGACACGGTGGTCCTGGAGAACAGTGAGAACGTCTGACCCCGTGCGTAAGAGAATACAGTTCCTCTCTGCCTCAGTTTCCTTTGTAGAGGATGAAGTGTGGGAGGCACAGGATCTCTTTTGCTAGAAGAAGTCAGTTCTGCCCACCTCTGGACCCGAAGCCCCCTTGGGCCCTGCAGGGGCTTTGAATTTACAGGAAAGACAAGCCCACTCTAGCGAAGGAAGGAACCAAGGGGTCTCCCAAGTCACGTCCTCTTCTCAGCAGTCAGCAGGGTGACCACACCTGTAGAGTCACACCCCTGCAACCTCCCACCTGAGGAAACAGCTTATTCAGGAACTGCCACCCCCTCCTGCCACATGTGTGTGCCCAGGAAAGCCTCAGGTGCTCTTGAGGAGTCAATGTTTCAGTGGGGTGGGAGCGTGGTTAATGTTCATCCCTTTGAATCCCCTGTTCCTTCATATGGAGCTGGACCATGCAAAAGCCCTAAGCACTCTTCCAGCTTCAGGTCCATTGTTCTACCTTCAGAGACTGCCCAGGGTCCCTTGTTGTGAACTGTGACCGTCATTAAGCCCTCTTCCTCCACCTACCTCAGTTTCCTCCTCCTCACAGGAAGGGCCTACATAAACTAATTTCAAAAACCATACCTCAAAGTGCACAACATTCCTTGCTGGCCAACATTCATAGCCTCTGGACCCCCACCAGAGCCCTGATGACTGGGAATGCACCGGTAGGCCACGTATGAGCTCTGCGTGGAAGCCCCTGATCCAGTCAGGCTGGTTCTGCAGTGCACTTGTACTTAGGCTCAGACCTGGAGAAATGACAGCAGGAATAAGGATCTTCCCAAACAGCCAGTAGAAGGTCTGCCCCTGAATTCTGTCCCACCCACTCCTGCCCTGCTGTCTTCATCTTCACTAAGTCTGCTTCTTCAGAGGTTCTGCAAAGCTTTCAGAGCTGTTCCTCTTCCAGAGGCCCAGAGGGCAAGTCCTCACTCTGTCCTCCCTGCCTTCTAAGGCAGAGATGTCTGCCTTGCCTTAGGACTTTGTGTCTCTGCCCTTGGGAGTCGTGTCCTTCCAAGGGGTGGTGCCAGGTGTTTCTCCTTTCAGCCTGGTCCACCCTGCCCCTCCACCCCACACCCCATACTTCTGGGAAGAGAAGCCAAAGGTGATTTCAGTTTGGAGCAAAGGACAGTGGCTCAAGAACCAAGATCTGAATCCTGTCTCCGACCCTGTGGCCTAGATTGTGATCCAGGGATGCCCTTCCTGAGAGACTGGCTTGGTGCTACCCAAGGTACGGGGAAGTCCAGACTGTGGGACTTCAAGCATGATGCATATTGTGCATATCGTACTGTGGGAGTGTGTTTCCCTGCCTGCCACAGGCCACAGGTGCAGAATGTGGCTGCCAGTTTGTGAGCCCACTCCCATGGGGTGTGTGCAAGGCACTCTGGCCTGGTCAGGAAGTCACAGGCAAAGCCCACCTGGGAAAGGTTTTGTGGGAGGGTATGTTGGGCTGCTGCTGTTGCTGCTACTAAATACCTGAGGTAATCTGTTTATTAAAAAGTTCATTTGGGCTTACAATTTTGGAAGTTTCAATCCATAATCCATTGGCTCTGTGGTTTGAGACCTGTGGTGAAGGCACCCATCATGGTGGAAGTCCGTGGTAGAAGTCCATGGTGGAAGGGCATGGCAGAGCAGAATCATGCATCTTAGGGTCCCAAAGTAAAAGAGCAAGAGGAAGGGACTGGGCTTCCATAGTTGCTTCCTGTGCATGTCCCCAGTGAACTAGGGACCTCCCACTAGCATTACCTGGGGAAAGAGACTACAACACCTGAGCCCTTGGAACACATCCAAGATCTGAATTATAGTGAAAGGGGCAACTCAACTCTTGGATTCCTGAAACCGCACCGCAACACTCGTTCCACCCAGTGGGAATCCAGGGCTAGCCTGGCTTCCTCTCTGGGCACCCAAAGGTAAAGATCCCCTTTGTTTTTGAAGAATGGCAGTGATCCTGGTAAATCAAGGTGGTGGAGGTAAGAAGCACATTTCTGTCCCACAAACAGCAGGACAAGATGGAATATAGAAATGCCCTGTGGACGCTCACGTGGGAAGCAGCTGAAACAGCCACGGGCCCTGGCTTCCAGGTCAGCTCTCTGAGGCTGCCTGTGCCCTGTGTTCTGGGCCTGAAGCAAGTCTGGCCTGGACCCTTGAACATGGTCTCACTGATCTGGATATGATGAAGAAAAGAGTTCAGGAAAGAAGAGTTCAATACCATCACCCAAAAATGGGACAGTGGCCCGCCATCTGCTCATCTGTGAAGTCAGGTGCTGTTGGCCTGGCTTTGAGTTGCTTTGCCACACTCTCCCTGAAGGCCAGCAACCAGCTTTCCATCCTTTGGACTTGCAGCAGGGCCTTGGTGCTGTCTTGTGTCTGTTGGAGAAAGGTCAGACACTGCTTTCAGTGTCACTCAGAATAGAGCAATTCCAGGAAAGGGGGACCTGTTTTCTTTCTCTTGCAGTACAAGAAAGGACCTCATATCTGTGCGACTGGCCACTGCTGGAACTTCAGGAGCCCTGGCCGGACTTGTGCCCTTTTCTGCATTGAGCACCAAGATCTACTGGGAAGATGGCCTCCCAGGTGGTCCATCGGGGTCTTCCACCCCACGGATTCGAGGCCCTGGCTCCCTGCCTCTGTCTTGCCATGCTAATTGCCCCTCACAGCCCAAGGCCAGATTGGCACCCTCCTCAGGGGCACGCCATCTCCTAGCTCCCAAAGTATGTGACTTCCCTTTGTGGCAGTGAAGTAGTTTTCAGCTCTCTCACCCTCATGCTTTTTATGTGGGGAGCGGGGTGGACGGTAGTGATGAAGCCGGATGCCCTACAATAAGAGTCACTCCATGCAGTTCTATTCTTACTGGATGGCTGTCAGAGAACGTGAAGGCTCCTTGGATTCTGGATTCAGAATTCACAAGGCTTTGGGTATGATCCACAGTTGAGGTTGGCCTGAGTCACAGAAACTTTGGATGCTTTGAAGAGACTGAATAAGCTTAGAGTTATTACAAATGTCACAGGC